CTTTCCACTGTAAAAAAGCTTTTAAACTTTTTATTACCCGTTTTTATAACCTTACCCAGAACGGTTACTTCAATCGTTTTTGAGTCACTTCCTTCCTCATTATCTGCATGAATGGTGAACTCGTAGTTGCCCGGACGATTTATTTGGAATCCTTTCAAAAAGGTCCTGCCCTCCAATTGTGTTGTAGAATTCACTATTGTCGAGTTAATTGGGGGGGTACCTTCCAGCCAAAACCAGATATAGTGTCCTGGAGCAGATCTTACCGGCGTTAGTAACGGTAGCCTTATCCTTGGCTTTTCTAAAATGAACAGTTATAACAAGTGTTTGAGCTGTCACGATTTCAGGTCAAATTGACAGGTTGCAAGTTAAATAACAATTGCATAATTCCCCTCGCCGAACACCACGCTAAATAATATTTAAGAGCTTCACATGAAGTTAATAAGACGTAACAGATCCGTTGGAGAAAAGTGCAGGTAACTTAGATGTACAACTCAATTGGAAATGGTCTAGTCCAGCAAGAAGTTAAACACACCTCGCGTGAAAATTTTCCATTTATAACTGCTCCTTGCAACGTTTTCTTTTTCTGTTTCATAGTTTCCTCTTTTGTTTATAGTTTTTTAGCTCTGGTTTGGTCATAAACACAAGAATACATGGAATATTAGGTTCATTTACTATCTTTGGGCATGCACGTACACGTGGGATTAACTGCGCAACAGAACATTCTACTAGTATCAGATTGTTGTTTATCACATGTAACTTTTCGTCAGTCGTTTTGTTAGTGACTACTGGATTGCTTTCCCACCCACCCACCCTGGGTCGTTCTGCATGAGGGTGACAAGGAGGTGTATTATTTTTATCGATTAGACTGTCCGGTTTTTGTTAATGGGGAATTAACCAACCTGCTGGTAGGTATTAACCTAGTTCACATTCTGTTATTTGACTTATTATCGCTAACCTTTATTTGAACTTGTATAAGTTCCCATAAAGTTGCAAAGGGTTGATGGCTCGTCCTTTTTCAAAATCAACATCATAAATCGACCACTTGTTTGTATGATGAAGGGCTGTCTTGTTCCAGAAAAACGTGCCAGTACGGTATCATTTTTGCTTTTTCCGTCGTGGATCTGTATCTTTGCTAGATTAACAGACAGATGAAATATAGTAAATTCCAGTTTGACAGTGTGGTTCGTCGGTGCTGCGATGATCCACGCACAATTGCTGTAGTTCTTTGCTTCAGTGGCGTTAATGGACCCAGCAGAGCCGTTAACAGTAAAGACACATTCTTCAGAGTTGACAACTGCAAAGTAAAAGAGCGAAAATGAAAACGTCAAATTATTCACAATTTTATTCACCTCACAGTCTATCTAGTAATGCTAAAGGGCCCTTTGACTTTTCGAATACAGGCTAGTAGTATGACAATAGCATAATGATCGATCGCGAGAGATGACTTGTACATTAAAAATTTTCTATGACTCATACCTGCTGCTGTGTTACTAGATAAGGAATCATAATTTTACTTGCCTTTAATTGTCCACACTGCCAAAAAAATAACTCCAAGTAGAGTTTTTCCTTGCAATGACATCTGAAAAAACAAACAAATAAAAGTCATTAAAAATATGGTCACCAATTGTTCTTGGTGCAACATTGATGTTAACTGTCTCGCAACAATGTACTTGTTAGTCGCCCATTAACGTACTGCTTGTTTTAGGGATCATCATGACCCCTGAAAATTACTCACTGATGTAATAGCCCATTGCGGTGGGAATAACTGATTCTCTTGAAAGCTTATCGATAACGGCTTCGATTGTGATAGGTAAGTTTGGGAGCGAGCAGGGGACGCACTAGAAAAGTGATGAGAGTTGGAACCACTGCAAAAAACTATCCCCCGAGTGTGAATAATTTCTTCTGTTAGTAGTTGTAAAACTTGATCTTGTTTTTTGGATTGAAGTAATCTGGGAACAGTTTCCAAACGGTAATGACGAGTAAGTTATGCATGAGTTGTTCATGAACAAATACGCAAGGGGTCTTCTGTCGCACTGTGGCCTCTGATGATCGGAAGCACCCTCATAAGAGGTTGACTCTGCTGTCTTCTTCATATGCTACCCATTTCTTCTATAGACTGTGCCATTTTCAGTCTCTAAAGTGTACGATCGCTAGTCCAACCTTACTATTACCTGAGCGTTTGGCCACTATTTAGCACTTAACTAGAAAGGCTTCATCCGCACCACATCACCTTCACTCAGTGCTGGCAGCTCTTCTGTGTTTCTCTTCTAATATTTGGCTTGAACCCGCTGGCGCTTCTTAACTTGGCTCTTTTCAATGCCAAGAGGGATTGTTTCTGGCATTAGGAGGTTTGGCGTAGTAGGGAAGAGCTCGCTTGGGAAGGGGTGTTCCTATAATGAAGGAAAGCGAGTTATAGATCTGCCCCAGCACCGACAGACTTCCGCAAGAAATGCTTGGCTGTCGTTACTTCAGATTCCGCCTTGCCGTTAGCCTTACTGTTTCACAGGTCTTCGGGAATATCGCAAACTCCTTCAAGGTGAACTGGCGGCCAATACCGCTCACAGCTTGGTGAGATATTTCATTCTTGGTGAAGTGACCTTTCAGTTTTAGTATTACCGTGCTGGCTTTGGCGTCCGGTCCCTGGTCTACCGCTTTAAAGTTGCTGTAGTAGTCGATGATAATCAAATATACTTGGCCATATTGGGAAAAGATATCAGTGCCGACGTTTTTTCCGGCGACGAGACCGAACCTCGTGGTTCATTAAAGGCTGCATCAAGCCCTCTAAACATTTCACACGTCGAGATGTATTGCATGATTTCGGCCGACATTTCGGGCCAGTAGCTGCATTCACAGGCTTTTCCTAGACATGACCCTGTTTTCAGGTGAGAGAAATGAATCCTTGCTTTCATGACTCTTAGGCATTACACAGCATTAGCTTTAAAAACTAATCCATCTTAAGGCGTCAACGCATCTTGTATATCAAAGTATGGGTGAGAGTTCAGGGGCAAATATCTTTTCTTCTGGCCAGCATTTGAGAATTATTTCAGATACGCTTCATAAAGATTGATCTTTCTGAGTTTCAGACCGTATTTCATTGGTTATCTCCATCATCTCCTTTAAATTGAAGGGAAGCTCGCGACATGTCCTGGAGGACAGTGAAGTCATACTTCTGTCTCAACATCGTAGACTGCAGTCGTCAAGGTGAAAGTGAGAGAGCCCTCTAAAGAATCACTTTTAAAACACCGACTCGGCGACCAAAATTAATGTATACTGGTTAAAACGTTCGAGCGAAAAAAGATAGCGAGCATCTCTTTTTCCATTTGCGCCTATCCCTACTCTGTCTCTGTTAACGCTCAGCTTGCATACTTAATGCATCGGCCGTTCTGTAACAAAGCTGCACCCACTCCACTTTGGCTCGCATCACACATGGTAAGCTCGCTGTTAGGATCATAGTAGCTTAGTAATGAGGCCTCCCTGACCATGTGTTGTATCTTCCGGAACGCGCTGTCCCGCTCATTGGACCAGTGCCATAGTCTGTCTTTTCTTGTCAGGCGGCGAAAAAGCTCAATGATTTCCGAAAATTTGGGAAGGAACCTAAGTAGTACATTGGTTGGTAACATGTGGAGAGTTTTGCTGCGCAACAAACTCTCCGCATTTTACTAACCAGTATATTACATGTGTGGCTAGCGTCCACTCAAACTACCACAAAAAACCGCCGCCTCTCGGCGAATGGCTCTTCGCACGGCCGCGGCGAGAGCCAGGCGTGAGCAGCCTATTAAATATTGGCACACACTTCGCATAATGGCTGCACAGACCCATCTCATCGATCTGGACATTGATCCGGACGAAGATGCAGAATGATCTCTCAAAAAAATGGTACAAACTATTTTGGATGAATCGATCGACGTGGAAACAAAGAGCAGGATTTTGAATCGGCTTGTTGCCACCGAGTATCAGCCAAAGCGTCCCATGAGAACCCCAGAAATTAGGAACACTAAAACCACAAGGGGTCTGGAAAAATTAGATCTCCTTCATTCGATGCACTATGAGCACCCAGAGTTTACGGCGCAGAACGTCTGTGATGATTACGGGCGAGGAAAAATGTGGACGGCACACCCAATTTTTGGGCACACTTTTTCTGGCAGCGAGAGGGCAGTGCACTGGCAGATTTTTTTACAGGGAGAGGTGTTCTCAAAGCAAGAGTGTGCCTTATTAGACATTTGCGAAAATATAATATATATGTGACACACACGGTGAAGTTTTGTCACACGGTGAAAGTTTGGCACAAATAGGACTGCGCACTGGAAAAATCGTAGCCAAGCACCTTCTGGCAAAGAATAGTTGGGAGAGCAACCTCGTAGCCGACATTTCGAAAGTCGACCATCCCGAAGGCTACTAGGGCAAGGGACTGTTTCTCAAAAGTCCCGATAATTTACGGGCCCGTAAAGCTGTTGTTGTTTACATGCAAGATAGAGGTTTCAATGGTTTTGAATCTAACATAATAAAACGACAAGTTAATAAAACAAAACTGAGTTGTTTGCTAGCCAGGACCCGCGCTATTATTCTTTATATTTCGATTTCAATATTTGATTTCGGGCCCGAAAAGTTACCGGGAATTTTGAGAAACGGGCCCCAGAACACAACTGCGACCCTTGGAAGGGCTCCCAGTCGTCTCCGACGACTTTTACGTCTATGGCCATCTTCAAAAAGAAGAGGTTGTGTCGGTAGGAAATCGCTCGCATTCCAGCTTGGGTGAAAACGGCGCCACAAAACAAATAGTGTCACGCATTTCCAACCTTGTGCGAGAAACACTTGGAAGCACCTACAAAAACACCAAGCTGTTGTACCCTATTCCAGCAAATACTCCGGGCGGTCGAATCATTGACACTATATCGACTATCAAAACAAACAGCAAAGCAAAAAAACAAAGGCAGACCCTGTTCCCAGAGAAAGTATTTTCCTACTATTTTGTTGCGAAGGTCGATTTCGCAGAGGTGGAGATGGAAAAACTGCAACAGGCTCTTTCAACACTGGAAAGTTTGCTGGAGGACAGGGGCGACGCCATCTTCCAAATAGATTTCACCCAAGATTTTTCGGGCGCGCTCGACCGAAAAGCGCTTGTCGAGCATTTGCACAACTCGACAGATTTTGCTTTCCAGGATTTTGGGTTCCCAGAGGCGAGAGGCACTATTCTGGACAACACTGCGAGCGCTGGTGAGCACGTTTGCACTTGGATACAGACGACCGACAGCGGGTATACGACAAGGACAAAGCTATACAACAAAAAAGTCTCGCAGTTCGAAGCGGGAGGAGTCCAGAAACATTTTGAGGCACTCTCGCAGACTACGTCTGTTATAAGGAGAAACACCTTCGCAAAACTCTTGCACACCTGAAAGCGTAAAAAATGTTGTACTCGAATAGAGGTGTCTCTGTACGCTTATCAAGGGGAAAGGCTTTCCGAAGAAACAGCGAAAGAGTTGGTATAAAACGCCTTGGAGGAGGTGTCTCAAGAGGGAGAAGATTTGTTTGTGGTACAGCCGCCGAAAAGGCAATGGGAGAACCTTGGACAGCTGTTTCCTTCTCGCAGATAGACCGCAGGGAGATATCCACATGGCTTGGGGATACCACACCACCAAGGGGAGAGTTCAGGGGATAGACGCCACACCAACAAGAGATAGAGTGGACAACGACGCAACTTGGAAAAGAGCAATAAAGTGGATGGCTGTAGACTTTGGCTTCCGGCGTTGCCCAATCTTAGGACAAAGATCTTGGCCATGCAGGGAGAGGAAGTCGTTCTCCAAACTCTGGTGCTGGACAAAAGACGCCCCGCACAATCCTTACGGCAAGCCGAAGGCTGTGCCAGAAACATCCCGTTGTCCCAGACCCTGCAGAGTTAATTCAACCGACAGAGCGCATCGAGTGGATGTGGCTAAAAAAGCAAACAAGCGCCATAGGAGTAGAAAACCCACCGTGACTCGAGACGCTTCAGGATGCCGAGCATAGAGTGTCCTAGGAAGAAAGAAGTGAAACAGCTCGCCAAGGAGCATTAAAAGAAGGACGAGAGGCGCCGCATAGAGATCGAGGAAATGGGCAAACTAGTGGAAATGCATAGGCGTTATCACATAGAAAAACAAGAAACACCCTCTGCCGTCGAAAAAGTCTCTTCCAGCAAAGAGACCGCTTAAATCTGGCAATACCCAGAAAGCAGCTGGGACATTCTCGAATACAGGCGGCGAGAGGGTGGTGCTGGAAAGGGAGGGAAACCACAGATGTCTTTGGGGGACAAAAGGGCTGCACCACATCCTGGAAAACCAAGGCGACTCTTTCGAAAAACAATACACCCACCACGGACTCCCAATGATTTGGATCCCACAAAAAAAGCCAAACTGCGAATCCGAATCGGGGCAAAGAAATCTTTCTACAACGGCGACGGCGAAAAAATCGAATGAAACCCAATCTTTCTGGTGCAAATGCCAAACCCAACCGAGATTGCTCATGAACTTAGGTACTTGATCATATCAAGGAATCGAAGACGTGCTGCAGGGCTCTGAGGGGCAGGCATATGATTAATTGCAGTAACTTTGGATTCATCAGACCACATGAGGTCTGTCTTTATGAACGAATGACCAACATAGCAGACATGATCACAAGGGAATCTACATTTCTTTGTAGACAATTTGAAGCCAATCTCTCGTGCTCCCTTCGGGATTATTTTTTAATTTGCATCGTGCCCTGGTGTTCCTTCACCCTATACCAACAGGTCATCCACGATGAAAGCACAGGGCTACCCAGCAAACAGCTCTCTCATTGCACAATGAAAGACCTCAAAAGCGAAGGTCATTCCAAAAGGGTTCGGAGAAAACTGTACCATTCAAACAGGGAGCTGAAAGTTGTGAGTAGTGGGCACTCATAGTCTAATTTGATTTATTGAATGAAGCGTAGAGAACACTGTGGCACTGGTAATACGTGAGGCGTCATCTTCAACTGTCGTCATCGGATGGTGGAGTCCTTTGAGCGCCTTGTTGAGGTCTTTTGGATCAACGCAGATGTGAATGAATCCATCCTTTTTTGCAGCGACCATTTGTAAGAGCCATTCCGTAGGCTCTTTTACAGGTGTGATCACAACGATTTTGGCCATCTTGTCAAGTTTCTTTTCAAACTCTTTTCCTTCACTTGGGGTACTTTACGGGGAGGACTAAAAACAGAGGTAACGTCAGGATTAAGCCTCATCTTGTAAACCACAAGACGGTTACCAAGGTCACCAAAAAATAATCTTTGTACTCTTCTTGTATTGCTGCTCAGAAGGCATCGACAGTGTCAACTTTGTGGACTTCGCTGTGCAACTGAGTGAAACAAACAGCAGGGCTAAAAGATTTTGCTTTCCAGGGTTTTGGGTTCCCAGAAGTGAGAGGCACTATTCTGGACAACACAGCGAGCTTTGGCGAGCAAGTTTGCACTTGGATGTAGACAACCGACAGCGGGTATACGACAAGGATAAAGCTGTCAAACAAAATAGTCTACCAGTTCGAAGCGGGAGAGGTCCAGGACCCATTTTGAGGCCATCTCTCAGACTACGTCTGCTCTACCGGCAAACACCTTTTTTGCACCCAGACGTGCAAAAAAGAGGTTAAACTCGAGGGGGAGGCTTTGCGCAGAAACAGCGAAAGAATTGGTACAAAACGCCTTGGAGGAGGTGTCTCAAGAGGGAGAAGATTTGTTTGTGGTACAGCCGCCGAAAAGGCAACGGGAGAACCTTGGACTGCTGTTTCCTTCTCGCAGATAGACCGCAGGGAGATATCCACATGGCTTGGGGATACCACACCACCAAGGGGAGAGTTCAGGGGATAGACGCCACACCAACAAGAGATAGAGTGGACAACGACGCAACTTGGAAAAGAGCAATAAAGTGGATGGCTGTAGACTTTGGCTTCCGGCGTTGCCCAATCTTAGGACAAAGATCTTGGCCATGCAGGGAGAGGAAGTCGTTCTCCAAACTCTGGTGCTGGACAAAAGACGCCCCGCACAATCCTTACAGCAAGCCGAAGGCTGTGCCGGAAACACCTCGTTGTCCCAGACCCTGCAGAGTTAATTCAACCGACAGAGCGCATCGAGTGGATGTGGATAAAAAAGCAAACAAGCGCCATAGGAGTAGAAAACCCACCGTGAGTTCTCCACAATCTCGACAAGGCTTCGTGCGTGGTGACTCGAGACGCTTCAGGATGCCGAGCATAGAGTGTCCTAGGAAGAAAGAAGTGAAACAGCTCGCCAAGGAGCATTAAAAGAAGGACGAGAGGCGCCGCATAGAGATCGAGGAAATGGGCAAACTAGTAGAAATGCATAGGCGTTATCACATAGAAAAACAAGAAACACCCTCTGCCGTCGAAAAAGTCTCTTCCAGCAAAGAAACCGCTTAAATCTGGCAATACCCAGAAAGCAGCTGGGACATTCTCGAATACAGGCGGCGAGAGGGTGGTGCTGGAAAGGGAGGGAAACCACAGATGTCTTTGGGGGACAAAAGGGCTGCACCACATCCTGGAAAACCAAGGCGACTCTTTCGAAAAACAATACACTCACCACGAACTCCCAATGATTTGGATCCCACAAAAAAAGCCAAACTGCGAATCCGAATCGGGGCAAAGAAATCTTTCTACAACGGCGACGGCGAAAAAATCGAATGAAACCCAATCTTTCTGGTGCAAATGCGAAACCCAACCCAGATGCAAAAGCTGTTCGAAATACTATAGAAGCTGGAGAAGGAGGAAGAGCTTTTGAAGCAAAAAAAAAAGAAGAAGAAGATGAAAGGCACAAGCTTCGCCGGCGGGAGGGGATGCCTTCGCAAAAGAAATGAAAAAGGCCTTCGAAATGGAAGAAGGCGAATATTTGGCAACAAGCTACGAAGAAAGGGAAAACGGTTTTCTCTCTTCTCCTACTTGGAGAAAACGGGGAGCCAACTACAGACGCCGAAGTGCCGGTATGGAGCTATTTTGTGCAAGAGGAGGCAAAAAAATGCAACTTTTAAAGACGATGGATGTTTGTTTTCCCTGCTGGAAAGAGAGAAAAGAACCCCATTGAGAAAACAGGAAAGGGTTACTCACTTTTTTGTAGAGCACGGGAACAGCAGTTCCCCTGCAAATGTCCCCATAGAGGTCCCTGTAAGGGTCCTTGTAGAGATACAGGAGTGGAACTATGCCCATTAGTCATTCTCCAGGGATAGCACAACATCGAGAGACAGCAGACAGCAACAGCAACCAGCGGCCCAAACGTCCAATTTTCCTATTCCAGAGCTTTTTGTGCAGGAACCTTGGCAAGAATAGCAGGGCCTGGCAAGTCTTCTTTTGCGGCAATCTGTAGGGGGTCCCAGTCTGGACACAAATTTTTTTCGTGCTTCGCAAGCTCTTGGCGAAAGCTATGGTATTCGTAATCCGGCACACCTCTCGACACCATCGAGAGCACCAGAAACGCGTTTGTGAAAAAGACCGAAAAAGTGGTTGCCGCCTCCCATGTAATCTACGCTGCGGTCTTCAGAGCTCTCGAGACCTTGGCTTCTTTTGGGCTGTTGGTGGACGATGTAACCATTTGTATTTTCTGTAGAAGCAACCAGACACAGGAGACCCTTTCCAATCTGCGTAGTCCCCTACCGGACCCCGAGCCTCCTATACGGGAGCCGGCAAAGGGCAGAAAGAAAGTCCTTTTCGCCATAGAATAGTCCTCTTAGAAAAGTGCCACTTCTTGTATAGATGCCTCTGCAGACACTTTTTCGAAGAGGTGTGCCGTACTACGAATACCATAGCTTTCGCCAAGAGTTTGCGAAGCACCAAAGAAATTGGTGTGCCGACCAAGATGCCCTGCAGATTAACGCAAAGGAAAACTTCCCCAACTGTGCCATTCTTGCAAGGGTCCCTGCACAAAAAGCTCTGGAATAGGAAAACTGGACGTTTGAGCCGCTTGTTGCTGTTGCCGTCTGCGGCGATGTTGTGCTATGCCTTGAGATGGCTGGTGGGCATAGTTCCACTCCTATATCTCTACGAGGTCAGCTACGAGGGCCTCTACGGGGACATCGGCAGCGGAACTGCTGCTGCCATCCTCTACGAACAACTGCACAAACCTGTCCTGTTTTCTTCTCCCTTCCCAGCCGGCAAAACAAACATCCATCGACTTTGGAAAGTTGCGTTTTTTTCGCCTCCTCTTGCACAAAATAGCCCCATAACTGTCCTTCAACGTTTGTAATTGGCTCCCCGTTTTCTCCAAGTGGAAGAAGAAAGAAAACCGTTTCCTCGGCTCCACGATACATCGTTTCTTCGTAGCTTGTTGCTAAGTTCTTCAATTTCGAAGGCCTTTTTCCATTTCTTTTGCGACGGAATCCCCTCCTGCCGGCAAAGCGCCTGCCTGTGCCTGCCTTGTTCTTTTTTTCTGCTTCAAAACCTCTTCCTCTTTCTTCAGCTGCTACAGTATTTCGAAAAGCTTTTGCACCTGGGTTGGATTTGGGATTTGCACCAGAGAGATTAAGTTCCATTCGATTTTTTTCGCCTTCGCCGTTGTAGAAAGATTTCTTTGCTCCGATTCGGTTTCGCAGTTTGACCCTTTTTTGTCGGATCCAAGACATTGGGAGGCCGTTGTGGGTGTATTTTTTTTCAAAACAGTCGCCTTGGTCTTCCAGGATGCGGTGCAGCCCTTTTGTTTTCCCCAAAGACATCTGTGGTTCCCCTCCCTTTCCACCACCACCCTCTCTCCACCGCTTGCCGTCTTCCTGTATCCGAGAACGTCCCAGCAGCTTTCTGGGTATTGCAGGATTTTCGCGGTTTCTTTGCTGGAAAGGGTTTTTTTGACAGTAGAGCGTGTTTCTTCATTTTCTACATTATAGCACATGTGCATTTCCACTAGTTTGCCCATTTCTTTGATCTCTTTTCGGCGCCTCTCGTCCTTTTCCCACGGTTCCTTGGCGAGCTGTCTCATTCTTTCTTCCTGAGACACTCTATGCTGGGCATCTAGAAGCGTCTTTAATCGCCACGCACGAAGCCTTGCCGAGTGTGGAGAGCTCACGCTGCGCTTCTATCTCTGGCTTCACCTGCTCGCACGATGGCTTTTTTCCTCACATCCACTCGATGCACTCTTTCGGTGGAAGGAACTCTGCGCGTCTGGGGCAACGGGGTGCATCTGGCACGGGCTTCGGCTTGCTGCCATGATTGTGGAGACGTCTTTTGCCCAGCACCAGAGTTTGGAGAAAACGACTTCCGCTCCCTGCATGGCCAAGATCTTTATCCTGAAGACTGGGCAACGCTAGAAGCCAAAGTCTGCGTCCATCCACTCTATTGCTCTTTTCCAAGTTGTGTCGTTGTCCACTCTATCTCTTGTTGGTTTGGCGACTATCCCCTGAACTCTGCCCGTGTTAATGTGGTCTTCCCAAGCAATGTAGATCTCTCCCTGCCGCCTACCTGCGAGAAGGAAACAACGGCCCAAGACCTAGGCAAGGTTCTGCCATTGTCTTTTCGGCTGCTGTACCACAAACAAACCTTCTCTCTCTTGAGACACCTCCTCCAAGGCGTTTTGTACCAATTCTTTCGCTGTTTCTGCGCGAAGCTTCCCCCCTCGAGTTTAACCTCTTTTTTGCACGTCTGGGTGTAAAAAAGGTGTTTGCCGGTAGAGCAGACGTAGTCTGAGAGATGGCCTCAAAATGGGTCCTGGACCTCTCCCGCTTAGAACTGGTAGACTATTTTGTTTGACAGCTTTATCCTTGTCGTATACCCGCTGTCGGTTGTCTACATCCAAGTGCAAACTTGCTCGCCAAAGCTCGCTGTGTTGTCCAGAATAGTGCCTCTCACTTCTGGGANATCGACTTTGGAAAGTTGCGTTTTTTTCGCCTCCTCTTGCACAAAATAGCCCCATAACTGTCCTTCAACGTTTGTAATTGGCTCCCCGTTTTCTCCAAGTGGAAGAAGAAAGAAAACCGTTTCCTCGGCTCCACGATACATCGTTTCTTCGTAGCTTGTTGCTAAGTTCTTCAATTTCGAAGGCCTTTTTCCATTTCTTTTGCGACGGAATCCCCTCCTGCCGGCAAAGCGCCTGCCTGTGCCTGCCTTGTTCTTTTTTTCTGCTTCAAAACCTCTTCCTCTTTCTTCAGCTGCTACAGTATTTCGAAAAGCTTTTGCACCTGGGTTGGATTTGGGATTTGCACCAGAGAGATTAAGTTCCATTCGATTTTTTTCGCCTTCGCCGTTGTAGAAAGATTTCTTTGCTCCGATTCGGTTTCGCAGTTTGACCCTTTTTTGTCGGATCCAAGACATTGGGAGGCCGTTGTGGGTGTATTTTTTTTCAAAACAGTCGCCTTGGTCTTCCAGGATGCGGTGCAGCCCTTTTGTTTTCCCCAAAGACATCTGTGGTTCCCCTCCCTTTCCACCACCACCCTCTCTCCACCGCTTGCCGTCTTCCTGTATCCGAGAACGTCCCAGCAGCTTTCTGGGTATTGCAGGATTTTCGCGGTTTCTTTGCTGGAAAGGGTTTTTTTGACAGTAGAGCGTGTTTCTTCATTTTCTACATTATAGCACATGTGCATTTCCACTAGTTTGCCCATTTCTTTGATCTCTTTTCGGCGCCTCTCGTCCTTTTCCCACGGTTCCTTGGCGAGCTGTCTCATTCTTTCTTCCTGAGACACTCTATGCTGGGCATCTAGAAGCGTCTTTAATCGCCACGCACGAAGCCTTGCCGAGTGTGGAGAGCTCACGCTGCGCTTCTATCTCTGGCTTCACCTGCTCGCACGATGGCTTTTTTCCTCACATCCACTCGATGCACTCTTTCGGTGGAAGGAACTCTGCGCGTCTGGGGCAACGGGGTGCATCTGGCACGGGCTTCGGCTTGCTGCCATGATTGTGGAGACGTCTTTTGCCCAGCACCAGAGTTTGGAGAAAACGACTTCCGCTCCCTGCATGGCCAAGATCTTTATCCTGAAGACTGGGCAACGCTAGAAGCCAAAGTCTGCGTCCATCCACTCTATTGCTCTTTTCCAAGTTGTGTCGTTGTCCACTCTATCTCTTGTTGGTTTGGCGACTATCCCCTGAACTCTGCCCGTGTTAATGTGGTCTTCCCAAGCAATGTAGATCTCTCCCTGCCGCCTACCTGCGAGAAGGAAACAACGGCCCAAGACCTAGGCAAGGTTCTGCCATTGTCTTTTCGGCTGCTGTACCACAAACAAACCTTCTCTCTCTTGAGACACCTCCTCCAAGGCGTTTTGTACCAATTCTTTCGCTGTTTCTGCGCGAAGCTTCCCCCCTCGAGTTTAACCTCTTTTTTGCACGTCTGGGTGTAAAAAAGGTGTTTGCCGGTAGAGCAGACGTAGTCTGAGAGATGGCCTCAAAATGGGTCCTGGACCTCTCCCGCTTAGAACTGGTAGACTATTTTGTTTGACAGCTTTATCCTTGTCGTATACCCGCTGTCGGTTGTCTACATCCAAGTGCAAACTTGCTCGCCAAAGCTCGCTGTGTTGTCCAGAATAGTGCCTCTCACTTCTGGGAACCCAAAACCCTGGAAAGCAAAATCTTTTAGCCCTGCTGTTTGTTTCACTCAGTTGCACAGCGAAGTCCACAAAGTTGACACTGTCGATGCCTTCTGAGCAGCAATACAAGAAGAGTACAAAGATTCTTTTTTGGTGACCTTGGTAACCGTCTTGTGGTTTACAAGATGAGGCTTAATCCTGACGTTACCTCTGTTTTTAGTCCTCCCCGTAAAGTACCCCAAGTGAAGGAAAAGAGTTTGAAAAGAAACTTGACAAGATGGCCAAAATCGTTGTGATCACACCTGTAAAAGAGCCTACGGAATGGCTCTTACAAATGGTCGCTGCAAAAAAGGATGGATTCATTCACATCTGCGTTGATCCAAAAGACCTCAACAAGGCGCTCAAAGGACTCCACCATCCGATGACGACAGTTGAAGATGACGCCTCACGTATTACCAGTGCCACAGTGTTCTCTACGCTTCATTCAATAAATCAAATTAGACTATGAGTGCCCACTACTCACAACTTTCAGCTCCCTGTTTGAATGGTACAGTTTTCTCCGAACCCTTTTGGAATGACCTTCGCTTTTGAGGTCTTTCATTGTGCAATGAGAGAGCTGTTTGCTGGGTAGCCCTGTGCTTTCATCGTGGATGACCTGTTGGTATAGGGTGAAGGAACACCAGGGCACGATGCAAATTAAAAAATAATCCCGAAGGGAGCACGAGAGATTGGCTTCAAATTGTCTACAAAGAAATGTAGATTCCCTTGTGATCATGTCTGCTATGTTGGTCATTCGTTCATAAAGACAGACCTCATGTGTTCTGATGAATCCAAAGTTACTGCAATTAATCATATGCCTGCCCCTCAGAGCCCTGCAGCACGTCATCGATTCCTTGATATGATCAAGTACCTAAGTTCATGAGCAATCTAAGCTAGAAGACTGCTCTCCTGCGCCAACTGCTAAAGGGAGACATACACTGGAGCTGGAAAACACCTCGTCCAAAAGCGTTTGAGCTCCAGAAGATGGACACGTCAACGCCCTAGTCTTTAAGCTCTGTTTTCCTGCGAAGCATGCCGCACTGGCAGTGGACGCCTCAAAGAGTGGTCTTGGTGCCGCATGCCTGCAGGATAGTTGCCTTGTGGCATATACCTAAAGAGCCCTAGCTGAAGCTAAAAATCAATATGCACAGATCAAGAAAGAACTGCCTGCAGCAGCATTTCATGATTTCATCTGTGGTAGGGAAGTCCATAGTGAAACTGATTACAAACCTCTCACAGCAATCGTAAACAAGCCTCTTCAAACAGCCCCTGGCCATCTTCAACGAATGCTGTTGCAGCTGCAAAGTTACAATTTGAAGTTTACCTACAGAAAAAGAACCGAACTGCGTATGGCAGATATTGTCACGTGCCTACACAAATCAGAAACATGGTAATGAGGATGAATATCAGTTTGACATATTGTTCAGCGCAATCTCACCCAACACGTATGGCTGAACTCCAAAGGCACAATCCTGTCGATCCTACATGCAAAGGTGGTTTATTTTATTATTGGGTGGCCAGAAAAGCTCGAGAGTGAACCCCCAGAAGTAAAAACCATATTTTCCTGTAAGGCAGGAGCTAATCGTGAACTTTGGTAGTATCCTTCTGAAAGGCCTGAGAGTTGAGGTGCCGTAGTCCCTACAAAAAGAGTTTGCCTAGAAACTGCACAAGGGATATCCTGGAGCAGATGCTGCAAAGAAAAGAGCACGGGATGTGTATTACACGTCTATGACATCCGACATTGACTCTACCATTGTTCTCTGTCAGCCGTGCGACAGTATTAAACCGCACAAGCAGAGAGAACCACTTGTTATTTATTTGGTCCCAGACCTCCCCTGGTTATTTCTGAGTGCAGAGATATTAAACTGAAATGGATTGCGGTATCTGATACCTGTCGACTCTTACTCTGGTTTGTTAGCGACACATACCCTTCGCGATTTGTCTTCGAAACTGTTATTAAGAGGATCAAAATTAGGCATGATTTTGTTGTCCATGGTGTTTAGTGTCAAGTGTTTTCTGCCAGTGGTCCACAATTTGCAAGTAGAAAATTTCAAAGTCTCGCTAAGCCCAAGGATTGAGGATGCGACCAGCATTCCATATCGTCCACAGTCCAACAGTCTGGCCGAGAATGCTGTCAAACAAGCCAAGAACCTGCTTTGGAGGTGTAAGAAAAAAGGTTCAGATCCCTTTCTTGGACCCCTTAATCTGTTTAATGTTCGGAAAGATCAAACACTAGGTTCTCCTCCCTACTCCTGTGGCAAAGCAGCTTCTCACTCCTAAGGCAGCAATTAGTAGAATTGTTGCCTCACGAAAGCTTATTATAATCAGCACGCCAAGTATCTTCCGCTTCACCATCCAAAATGGGTTGTTAGACTTCAAACTGAGAAGAGTCATGAGAAAGTTGGCATTGTTAAGAAACCAGCTGCTCAGCCGCAGTCCTACATTGTGCAAACTGAAGAGAAGGATTACCCCAGAAACCAGGGACATCTTTTAGCTATTCTAAAGCCTATTCCACCTCAGTCTGCTGCTCAAACTTCTCCTCACTTAGCAGCAGTTCCTCAATATCCTTCTACCGTGTCAAATGCTCATCAGGCTCGTACCATGTCAAATGAGGATGTACTCCCCGAGGCTACGGGTGCTGTCAAGACACCAGCCAAGAAACTAGCGGAGCCTGCGGTCTGTCAGGTCCCCAACAAGGAAGTCTATCGGTCCCTAAGCTCAACTAAAGCCTTTCCTGGGAGGAGTTACGCCAGAGGCCGCTTGTTCAAATGTTCATCCATACTCTAATGCCCCAAGACCACAAGCCGTCGCTAGATCTGGAAGAATCTCGAGACCTGATCCGAAATATAGGGACTGACAATCACTTACCGTTGCAAATAAAGGACATATTTAGCATAGTCTTTTGGAACCGCCGATAAAAATAGGGCATGGGTCTAATTGTATATTTTGTTTGGTTTTTTAGTGTAAGGATTTAAGTTATTTATTCGTTTTTTTTTCTTCCTGTGCACCCTTTTGATGCAAATTAAAAAATAATCCCGAAGGGAGCACGAGAGATTGGCTTCAAATTGTCTACAAAGAAATGTAGATTCCCTTGTGATCATGTCTGCTATGTTGGTCATTCGTTCATAAAGACAGACCTCATGTGTTCTGATGAATCCAAAGTTACTGCAATTAATCATATGCCTGCCCCTCAGAGCCCTGCAGCACGTCATCGATTCCTTGATATGATCAAGTACCTAAGTTCATGAGCAATCTAAGCTAGAAGACTGCTCTCCTGCGCCAACTGCTAAAGGGAGACATACACTGGAGCTGGAAAACACCTCGTCCAAAAGCGTTTGAGCTCCAGAAGATGGACACGTCAACGCCCTAGTCTTTAAGCTCTGTTTTCCTGCGAAGCATGCCGCACTGGCAGTGGACGCCTCAAAGAGTGGTCTTGGTGCCGCATGCCTGCAGGATAGTTGCCTTGTGGCATATACCTAAAGAGCCCTAGCTGAAGCTAAAAATCAATATGCACAGATCAAGAAAGAACTGCCTGCAGCAGCATTTCATGATTTCATCTGTGGTAGGGAAGTCCATAGTGAAACTGATTACAAACCTCTCACAGCAATCGTAAACAAGCCTCTTCAAACAGCCCCTGGCCATCTTCAACGAATGCTGTTGCAGCTGCAAAGTTACAATTTGAAGTTTACCTACAGAAAAAGAACCGAACTGCGTATGGCAGATATTGTCACGTGCCTACACAAATCAGAAACATGGTAATGAGGATGAATATCAGTTTGACATATTGTTCAGCGCAATCTCACCCAACACGTATGGCTGAACTCCAAAGGCACAATCCTGTCGATCCTACATGCAAAGGTGGTTTATTTTATTATTGGGTGGCCAGAAAAGCTCGAGAGTGAACCCCCAGAAGTAAAAACCATATTTTCCTGTAAGGCAGGAGCTAATCGTGAACTTTGGTAGTATCCTTCTGAAAGGCCTGAGAGTTGAGGTGCCGTAGTCCCTACAAAAAGAGTTTGCCTAGAAACTGCACAAGGGATATCCTGGAGCAGATGCTGCAAAGAAAAGAGCACGGGATGTGTATTACACGTCTATGACATCCGACATTGACTCTACCATTGTTCTCTGTCAGCCGTGCGACAGTATTAAACCGCACAAGCAGAGAGAACCACTTGTTATTTATTTGGTCCCAGACCTCCCCTGGTTATTTCTGAGTGCAGAGATATTAAACTGAAATGGATTGCGGTATCTGATACCTGTCGACTCTTACTCTGGTTTGTTAGCGACACATACCCTTCGCGATTTGTCTTCGAAACTGTTATTAAGAGGATCAAAATTAGGCATGATTTTGTTGTCCATGGTGTTTAGTGTCAAGTGTTTTCTGCCAGTGGTCCACAATTTGCAAGTAGAAAATTTCAAAGTCTCGCTAAGCCCAAGGATTGAGGATGCGACCAGCATTCCATATCGTCCACAGTCCAACAGTCTGGCCGAGAATGCTGTCAAACAAGCCAAGAACCTGCTTTGGAGGTGTAAGAAAAAAGGTTCAGATCCCTTTCTTGGACCCCTTAATCTGTTTAATGTTCGGAAAGATCAAACACTAGGTTCTCCTCCCTACTCCTGTGGCAAAGCAGCTTCTCACTCCTAAGGCAGCAATTAGTAGAATTGTTGCCTCACGAAAGCTTATTATAATCAGCACGCCAAGTATCTTCCGCTTCACCATCCAAAATGGGTTGTTAGACTTCAAACTGAGAAGAGTCATGAGAAAGTTGGCATTGTTAAGAAACCAGCTGCTCAGCCGCAGTCCTACATTGTGCAAACTGAAGAGAAGGATTACCCCAGAAACCAGGGACATCTTTTAGCTATTCTAAAGCCTATTCCACCTCAGTCTGCTGCTCAAACTTCTCCTCACTTAGCAGCAGTTCCTCAATATCCTTCTACCGTGTCAAATGCTCATCAGGCTCGTACCATGTCAAATGAGGATGTACTCCCCGAGGCTACGGGTGCTGTCAAGACACCAGCCAAGAAACTAGCGGAGCCTGCGGTCTGTCAGGTCCCCAACAAGGAAGTCTATCGGTCCCTAAGCTCAACTAAAGCCTTTCCTGGGAGGAGTTACGCCAGAGGCCGCTTGTTCAAATGTTCATCCATACTCTAATGCCCCAAGACCACAAGCCGTCGCTAGATCTGGAAGAATCTCGAGACCTGATCCGAAATATAGGGACTGACAATCACTTACCGTTGCAAATAAAGGACATATTTAGCATAGTCTTTTGGAACCGCCGATAAAAATAGGGCATGGGTCTAATTGTATATTTTGTTTGGTTTTTTAGTGTAAGGATTTAAGTTATTTATTCGTTTTTTTTTTCTTCCTGTGCACCCTTTGCATGCATTGCCCACGTATTTTCTATCCTGTATAAATAATTGACTATGTGTTTTTCAGTGGCACTCGGTTTGCAGTTCATGCTTTACAATATCCATGATTCAAATCAAGCTCATAATGTTTAGACTTCCGGGAGAGGTATCTCCATACATGACAATACTGAAAGGTATGTAATGGGAACGGGTGGCTCTGTCGCTTTTACTAAAATGAAGGTGATATCGAAGTTGAAGTCCTTGCGCAAGTGTACCCAACGACATCATTTTCTAAAGATACCCCAAAACGAATACTTCAGGAAATCACGCTTGATCTAAAGAGGTGCATTGAAATCCGCAGGAGTACTGAGGCTGCAAATTCGTAATTGAGAACTTTTTCAGCATCACAGAGCGAGGATGTACATGGCGCGAAAGACAAATAGCAGCTGCAGAAGATACCTTTTAACAAGTCTGAGAAAAACCAGAAATCAGTAAGAAAGCTGGAGAAAAAGGCAGATGTCTCGCGTGGGGTGCCATATGTGCTAAATGTAAAGGGAGAAATCACTTCGCCTCAAAATGCGAGAGGGTTAAAAATCTAAGAGAAGAATCCGAGGAATCTGAAGATAACGACATATAATATATCACAACCATTACAGACGGACCGGAAGTGGTACATGGTGTTCTAATGGGACGCTTTGGCTTACAGGTTTCTTTGGAACAACCATTTCTTTTCTTTCTTAATTACATTTACCACTTCAGGTCCGTCTGTAATGCTTGTGATATATTATATGTCGCTATCTTCAGATTCCTCGGATTCTTCTCTTAGATTGTTAACCTTCTCGCATTTTGAGGCGAAGTGATTTCTGCCTTTACATTTAGTACATATGGTTCCCCACGCGGGACATCTGGCTTTTTCCCCAGCTTTCTTGCTAATTTCTGGTTTTTCTTAGACTTGTCAAAAGATTTCTTTTGCAACTGCTGTTTGGCTTTGGCGCCATTTACATCCTCACTCTGTGATGCTGAAAAGATTCTCAATTACGAATTTGCAGCCTCAGTACTCCCGCGAATTTCATAGCACCTCTTTAGATCAAGCGTAATTTCCTGAAGTAGTCGTCTTCAGGTATCTTAAGAAAATGATGTCTTTGGGTACACTTGCGCACAGACTTCATCTTCAGTATCAACTTCATTTTAGTAAAAGCGACAGAGCCACTTGTTCGCATTACATACCTTTCCGTAGTGTAATGTATTGAGATACTTCTACCAGAAGTCTAAACATTGTGAGCTTGATTTGAATCATGGATATTGTAGAGTATGAAATACAAACCGAGTGCCACTGAAAAACACATGGTCAATTATTTCTACATGAAAGAAATCACGTGGGCAATGCATGCAAAAGGTGCACAGGTACAAAAAAAACGAAAAATAACTTAAATCCTTACACTAAAAACGAAAAAGAAATACTTTTACAGCCATGCCGTATTTTTGTCGGCAGTTCTAAAAGACTATGCTAAATATGTCCTCTATTTACAACGGTAAGTGAGGGTAAGTCCTTATATTTCGGTACAGGTCTCGAGATTCTTTCAGATCTAGCGACGGCTTGTGGTCTTGGGGCATTAGAGGATGGATGAACATTTGAACAAGCGGCCTCTGGCGTAACTCCTCCCTGGAAAGGTTTTAGTTGAGCTTAGGGGCCGATAGACGTTCTTGTTGGGGACCTGACTGACTGCAGGCTCTGCTGGTTTCATGGCAGGTGTCTTGATAGGACCCGTAACCTCAGGGAGTACATCCTCATTTGACATGGTAGGAGGCTGGTGAGTATTTGACTCGTTAGGAGGATGTTGAGGAACTGCTGGTAAGTGAGGAGGAGTTTGAGCAGCAGACGGAGATGGAATAGGCTTTAGAATAGCTAAAAGATGTCCCTGGTTTCTGCGGTACTCCTCTTCAGTTTGCACGATGTAGGATCGCGGCTGAGCAGCTGGTTTCTTAACAATGCCAACTTTCTCATGACTCTTCTCAGTTTGAAGTCTAACAACCCATTTTGGATGGTGAAGCGGAAGATACTTGGCGTGCTGATTATAATAAGCTTTCTGCTGTTGGCGCTTTCACTTAAGACGTGAGGCAACAATTCTACTACTTGCTGCCTTAGGAGTGAGGAGCTGCTTTGCCACAGGAGTAGGGAGGAGAACCTAGTGTTGGATCTTTCCAAACATTAAACAGATTAAGGAGGCCAAGAAAGGGATCAGAACCTTCCTTCTTACACTTCCAAAGCAGGTTCTTTGCTTGTTTGACAATATTCTCGGCCAGACTGTTAGACTGTGGATTGTGGACAACTGGCAGAAAACACTTTGCAATAAACACCATGGACAACAAAACAATGCCTAATTTTGATCCTCTTAATAACAGTTATGGAAGACAAATCACGAAGGGTATCTGTCGCTATCAAACCAGAGTAAGAGTCGACAGGTATCAGATACCGCAATCCATTTCAGTTTAATATCTCTGCACTCAGAAATAACCAGGGGAGGTCTGGGACCAAATAAATAACAAGTGGTTCTTTGTGCGGTTTGGTACTTTTGCACAGCTGACAGAGAACAATGGTAGAGTCAATGTCGGATGTCATAGACGTGTAATACACATCCCGTGCTCTTTTCTTTGCAGCATCTGCTCCAGGATATCCCTTGTGCAGTTTCTAGGCAAACTCTTTTTGTAGGGACTACGGGAGCACAACTCTCAGGCCTTTCAGAAGGATACTACCAACATTCACGACTAGCTCATCCTTTACAGGAAAATATGGTTTTTACTTCTAGGGGTTAGCTCTCGAGCTTTTCTGGCCACCCAAATAAAAAAATAAACCACCAACACGAGATTGTGCCTTTGGAATTCAGCCATACGTGTGAGTGAGATTGCGCTGAACAATATCTCAAACTGATAGTCGTCCTCATCACCATTTTCCTGATTCGTGTAGGCACGTGACAGTGTCTGTCATACGCAGTTCGGTTCTTTTCCTGTAAGTGAACTTCAAATTGTAACTTTACAGCTGCAACAGCTTTCGTTGAAGGTGGTCAGGGGCTGTTTGAAGAGGCTTGCTTACGATTGCTGTGAGAGGTTTGTGATGAGTTTGAATATGGCTTCCCTACCATACATAAAATCATGAAATTGTGCTGCAAGCAGTTCCTTCTTGATCTGTGCCCATTGATTTTTAGCTTCATTTAGGGCTCTTTAGGTATATGCCACAAGGCAACTATCCTGCAGGCATGCGGCGCCAAGACCACTCTTTGAGGCGTCCACTGACAGTTTGGCAAGCTTCGCAGGAAAATAGAACTTAAGGACTGGGGGGTTGACGTGTCCAACTTCAGGAGCTTAATCCCTTTTGGACGAGGTGCTTCCCAGCTCCAGTGCATGTCTCTCTGTAGCAGTTCACGTAGGGGAGCAGTCTTCTCGCTGAGATTGCTGATGAACTTAGGTAATTGATCATATCAAGGAATCGATGAAGTGCTTCAGGGCTGTGAGGGGCAGGCATATCATTCATGGCAGTACCTTTGGCTTCATCAGACCACATGAGGCCTGTCTTTGTGAACAAATGACCAACATCGGGGACTTGATCACAGGGGAATCTACATTTCTTCATAGACAATTTGAAGCCAGTCTCTCGTGTTCCCTGCGTGATTATTCTTTAATTTGCATCGTGCTCTGGTGTTCCTCCAACCTATACCAACAGGTTATCCACGATGATTGCACAGGACTACCCAGCAAACAGCTCTTTCATCGCACAATGATAGACCCCAAAAGCGAAGATCATTCCAAAAGGGTTCGGAGAAAACTGAAGGCTGAAGGTTATGAGTAGTGAGGACCCATAGTCTAATTTGATTTATTGAATCAAGCGTAGAGAACACTGTGGCACTGGTAATACGTGAGGCGCCATCTTCAACTGTCGTCATCGGATAGTGGAGTCCTTTGAGCGCCTTGTTGAGGTATTCTGGATCAACGCAGATGTGAATGTATCCATCTTTCTTTGCAGCGACCATTGGTGATACTCACTGCGTAGGCTCCTTTACAGGTGTGATCACAGGGATTTTGGCCATCTTGTCAAGTTTCTTTTGACACTCTTTTCCTTAACTTGGGGTACCTTACGCGGACGACTAAAAACACAGGTAAGGTCAGGATTAAGCCTCATCTTGTAAACCACAAGAAGGTTACCAAGGCCACCAAAAAAGAATCTTTGTACTCTTCTTGTATTGCTGCGCAGAAGGCATTGACAGTTTCAACTTTGTGGTCTTCGCTGTGCAACTGAACGAGATTTAGGCTTAGGGAATCCATAGGGTCAAGGTGTTATGTGCCTTCCAGATCACGGCAGATAGACTGAAGCGACAGTTAAGGATTACAGTTCCCAGGCTAGTGTGTCTCCACCATAAGGAAACATTTGCACAATCCTTCACGTAACTCGCAAACTCGTTTAATGTACTGAACTGCCAACGGAGTTCCATTGAGTTACCATCGTCCACGACCGGAAGTGAAATACAGTGCACTGGGGAAGCGCGGCGAGCAAATTTCGTCGTTGTAGAGTCGTCGACGACGCCAAACAACGTAGACTCACGTCGTTGTGCAATCCACAAGCTTCGGCAGGTATAAATCCACTGTTTTTAGGCGAGTTTTGAAGTCCTTTGCATTTTTTTTATCCTCGTAAATCGAGGTATCCTTTGTTTTTTCTCCTAACAAGGGATGTTCATTGAGAATTCGACTACACTTGTAAGTGGTAAGTTTATTTGTACGTATTTGTATATATCTTTGATACAGAGGAAATAAACTTTATGTGTGTAACGTTTTACGTCGTTCGAATTAGCGACATAAAGAGAGAGAGAGAGACGCATCAACTAGTCAACTCCAGTTTTAATATTGAATTTTCGAACATTACAAGAGAATCAATGAATTATTGTTCTAATCACGCAACAGCCGATTGTAAACTAAGGCGATAATTCAACTACTATTATTAGATTACATCACGCGAGTCCCTATGTTGCTTTACTGTCAAGTCCGATATTAAAATGTCATAGATCGAATATCGTGACATCTCCTTTTTCTTAATAGTTCAACAGGTAATCGTCGTGCCAAGCTGGCGGTTTCCTCACACGGGTTGAACGACGTGGTTGAGTGACTGGTTCGGGAGTCGCACCTGAGGTGTCATCTCGACAACGAGTGGGCTGTGTTGTTTCTTGGCTGTTAACGGGAGATGTTACATCGGCGTCATTGTTCGGAAGATCTTCAAGTGTAGTGTGTGGAGGTGCTTCGGCCGTTGTTCTGAGTTGGCGCCTGTTGCGACGATAACGGCGACCTGCGACTTCCACTTCTTAAGATCGGTTAGGTAGTGCCTTGACGCAGCTGCCAAGAGACCATTTTGTGTAACCAGGGAGTTTCATTCGAATCGCTCGACCGGGCTGGATCGCAAGCAGCGGTTGAATTTTCTTGTTGTGCTGCAATTCTTGTTTCTGTTTGCGCTGCGCCAACTTTGCTTCTGTTTCGGAGTCTAACTGTAGCTTCAGAAGTTTGGGATGTGTTGGCAGGAGTGTTCTTGTTCTTCTACCCATAAGATGCTGGACATGCGAGGTTCCTAGACCCTCTGTGGGCGTGTTTCTCCAGTCCAAGAAAGCTAGCAGTGGATCTCTGTTGTCTGCTCGGGCTTTCTTTAACAGATTTTTGCAGATTTTAACGGCGTTCTCTGCCTTTCCGTTTGACTGGGGATGGTGCGGACTTGAAGTCTTGTGTTCAAATTTCCACGCCTCGGCGAATTTCGCGAATTCTGATGAGCTAAATTGTGTCCCGCTGTCTGTAATCAGGACATCAGGAATTCCATGTCTTGCAAACTGCACTTTGCAAGCGGTGATGACAGTTGTGGAGGTGATCCGTTTGAGTTCTTGTACTTCGAAATAACTGGAACAGTAGTCGACCAGTATTAAGAAGTTTGACCAAGTTCGAATAGGTCAGCTCCTACTTCCGACCACGGACGGCTTGGCATNAAATTTCCACGCCTCGGCGAATTTCGCGAATTCTGATGAGCTAAATTGTGTCCCGCTGTCTGTAATCAGGACATCAGGAATTCCATGTCTTGCAAACTGCACTTTGCAAGCGGTGATGACAGTTGTGGAGGTGATCCGTTTGAGTTCTTGTACTTCGAAATAACTGGAACAGTAGTCGACCAGTATTAAGAAGTTTGACCAAGTTCGAATAGGTCAGCTCCTACTTCCGACCACGGACGGCTTGGCATTTCGTGCGGCTGGAGGTCTTCTCTACAGTGTTCTGGCTGAAATGATTGACAAATGCTACATTTGGAAACGAAATCTTTTACTTCAGCGTTGATTCTTGGCCAGAACAGCAACTCTCTGGCTCTTCTTAAGCATCCGTTCATTCTGATATGTGAGCGGTGTATTTCTTTCAGGTATGCGAAGCGAGGGTGGAACGACTAAGCGTTGGCCACGAAAGCCCAGCCCGTTTTATTCAATTAGCTCGCTTCGGCTTTCGTGGTATGGTATTAGCGGACTAGGGCATTCTTTACGGCTTGATGGCCACCCTTTTTGTATTTGACTTGTTAAAAGCTGCATTTCTGGGTCCCGGGCTGTGCGCCGTTTGAACTCTTCCAACCGTTTGGGTGATACTGAAAGTCCATCTGTGTGATGCAGTTCTCGTAATGCACGCACTTCGCTGCTATAATAATGTTGAGCATTGTCGGTCGTAAGCCTATAGGAGAGGCTCAGGGCATCTGCAATAAACATTAGACGGCCTTTCTTGTACCTAATGTCCAGAGAATAATTCTGCAGTGCCATTCTCATTCTCTGTAAGCGCTTTGGTGATTAGTGTATTGGCTTCTTGAATATTGCCTGCAGTGGCTCATGGTCGGAATCTACATATTCGACGTCACGACCATATATGTACTGGTCAAATTTGTGACAAGACCATGCGATGGCAAGAAGCTCTTTCTCGATCTGTGCGTATCTTGTCTCAGTTTCGGTGAGAGCTCTTGAGGCGTAGCAGATTGGTTGGCCATTTTGCATAAGGACAGCTCCGAGACCAGTTTCAGAGGCGTTACACTGGATTGTTACTTCTTCGTCAACATTATAGTACTTGAGAACTGGGATTCAGTCACTTACTTCTTAACTGTGTTGAAGGCGATACTGTGTTGCTTTAGCCACTGCCACTCAGCGTCCTTATCTTCTAGTCTGCGTAGTGGTTCTGCCATTTCGCTCAGGTGTGGCATAAATTTTGACAAATAGTTAACCATTCCAAGGAAACGTTTGAGTGCAGTGACATTATCTGGTTCAGGCATAGCAGTGATAGCTTCTACCTTTGCGGGATCAGGTTTGAGACCTTCAGGTGTCAGATGATGTCCCATAAAGCGCACATTAGTCTGTGCTCGCTTTACTTTATCGCGATTGAGTTTCAAATTCCATTCCCTACACCTAGTAAAGAAGGAACGTTCGTTTTGCTCCAGGCTCTTGTGGGCTTCTTCTTTAGTATCACCGAAGCCAGCAATAATGAAGTCGTCTGCAATGACTTCTACGCCTTGAAGACCCTCTATGAATTCATGCATGGTTCTTTGCCATACTCCTGGGACTGAACTGATGCCGAAGGGCATGCGTAGCCATCGGTAGCGCCCGGAAGGTGTGTTCAACGTGGTTTTGTAGCTGGACTCAAGATCTATCCTCTTTTGCCAAAAACCATCTTTGCATCAACAACTGTGAAGAGCTTTGCTCTGTTTAGACGAGTGGCGACCTCTTCGATTGTCGGCATCTGATAATGCTCTCGCCTTATAGCTTCATTGAGATCCCTTGGGTCCAAACAGATTCGTATCTTGTTCGGCTTTATTACAGCAAGCATGCTTGAGACCCATTCGGTAGGCT